TTAATAATTAATAACTAAATTTTGCATCATAATTGCATTTGTGACGAATATTTTTTTGTGACGAATAAAATTGTTATAAATAACTTGTTAACAATGTCAATTTTTTTTATCACTATAAAATTATTTTCTGTGACAGGTGCTTAATTTGTCATTAAGAGCATTAGTGACAAGGGTTTTACTAACGGTTTAAATTTTATCACTAATAATAATTTGTGACGAAAAATAAAGATTTAATTATCAATAATTTAGTCACTAAATATGGATTTTCTTGTAGTGGTTGAATCTACCATAGGATTTTCTCCAATGACTATTTTGAGGTGGTTTGGGTTTAGGCCAGCAGATGTGCCTTCCCAATTCTTCTCGGAGTGCCCCCTTTGATTCCAAGGAAGATGATGTGTTCAAGCAATTTATGTATTCTTTGATTGGATCCTTTGCCTGAATAGGGTAAATCTCAAATGGATCCTCATAAGTGTTTTTCTGCAAAATCTCATCAACCATACCAATAACAAAATAATCATTAAAATCAAATTTGATTAAAAGAGACTCCCTATTGAACACTTCAAATGACACTTGAGATTTTTCCTCTTCTTCCTTAGAGACATCCTCTTGTTTAGTTTCTGCAGGCATAATTTCTACTTCTCCAAGTTGTCCTTCAATCTCCAAGAGTAAAGTGTTTACCTCTTCTTCTTGATTTTTCATTGTTGCACTAGGTAACTCACCTTGTATCTCTTTAGCAACTAAGTTGAGCAAATGACTTGATTGGACCTCCAGATTTTTATTCAAACATGTCTCCTCTTCTGGAGCTTAAAACTCTGATTATGGCTCCAATATATCTTCATTATTCCATGAGGTGTTTGGATCAAAATGACATGTATTGGGATAAGAATTATACTGCTGACTATAAAACTCACAAGAAAAATCAACACACTTGTTATATCGTTTAAATAAGCAATCAAAACTAAAATGGCCTAATCCACACCATTCACAAGTGATATTTGATCGTTCTATTTGAGCCTTCCTTAATTTGATCCTTTCAATGGCTGCTTGAATTCGTTCAAGTTCATCATTGTCAAGTTCTGCATCCCAATTGATAGTTATTGCTTCAACTTGTGCTCTTATCTCTGGCGCAAGCCAATGATAACTCACATAAGTACCTGTGGCAACTCAATTCATAATTAGACCTGTAAAAACAAAAACAAAGAAAACAGAAAAAAAAAATCAAAGTAAAGAAATAAAAGAAAAGAAAACATTCAAATTAAATCTAGAATTAACCAACTCTAATATTAATTAAATCAACAATCCTCGGCAACGGCGCCAAAAACTTGATGCACTAAAATTACCCTAACAAGTGTACTAGTCGCTCCAAGTAATATAATAATGAGAAGAGTGTCGAACCCACGAGGATTGTGTCTAATTAAGTACCAAAATAATCAATCTAAATTTATTTGAACAATCAAATAGGAAGAAACTTTAATTCAAAATAATAAAAAGAAAATAACAAATAAATCTAATCAAGATAGGAGGTACTAAGGCATTGATTTCACCATAATCAATCAATATAAATTATGCATTACCAAATTGTTGAGTGTTATTGTATGTGATGGCGGATTTCTCTAAATTAATTAACTAGTTTTCTCGAGTCAAGTTAATCCTTCACTTGTTTGTTAAATTAATCATGTTTCTATGTAATTTTAAACAAACTTATGAGAATTAAATTCTATGGAAACCTCTAACTTAAGAAGGGGGAGTTCCTAACTCTCTTCTCTTCCTCCACTACCACATGTGAGCTAATTACCTCTCGGTCTCATAGTTTAGCACACGGTTTATATTATTATTGGTCTAATCTACGCAATTCTTTCTCAAGTTCATGCATAAATCACTAAATCAATTAAAAAGTGATTAGACTTTCAATGTATTAAGTTCAATAATATAAACTCCTCATACAAATAACTTTAATTGAAAGTATAAAATCACTAAATCTATATTGAATTGATTAGGCTACATCTTAACCCTAATAGAATAAATCAGTTCATAATAAAAAGAATAAAATCTGAAATCAAAGCTATGAACATTCAAATATCAAACAATAAATAAAAACTCAAGGAAAAACAAAACCCAATTTGAGGAAATCGAACTCCTTAATCTTCTATTGTTGATGGAAACTCAGTCTTGATCTCCAATAATGCCCAAAAGAGAGCTGCCACTAGCCTCTCAAAACTCCTTGATTTTGAATTTGAATGGATATTTATAGGATTTTAGAAACCCTAATTGAGATAGAAGTAGGACTTGGAACAGAAATAAGAAACTGAATTTTGGATGCTGATTGCGTGGTGCTTTCACTTCGGATTACGTGTTGACACAAAATAGGAAACAGAATCTGATTCTGGACGTTTAACGCATGGTGTCGACACCTCGGTTACATGTCGACACTACACCCGTGTCGGGTTTCTGGTCTTCTTTTGCAATTTCTTCAATGGTAAAATAGCAGATTTGGTTCCTGACTTCTGAATTCTGCACAAGTTGATCCTCAAGTCTCTAATCTCTTCAATTTACTTCTAAAAATTAAGATTTCTTCTAATTAAATCCTTTCTTACACAAAAAATGAAAACCATGTAAAATCAAACAAAATCCCATAAAACTCATCCAAATATTAATAATATCAAAGTAAAAATTCCCTATTAATATGTATATAAATTTAGCTTATCAACACATTGTCATCATCTTCTACATTATCCAGAAGTATTAAATTACTTATATAATCATTCAAAGCAGAAAAGCATATTGCAAAATCTTGGACACCAAGACAAACCAAATCCAAACTAAAATATCTAGAAAGAATGAGTCATTTGGCACCAGATGGATACTGGCTGGAACTCAATAGGACATTTATCATTTACTTAATGCAGATTGACTGATCCTCCATCGTTCTATCTGCTCCAAATATCAATGGAAAAGAATAATACCAACATGGTGGGGTTGCTACGAATTAGCTCGTGACTCCATGATCTTTAGAAGAACTGCTGTCTCTTGAGCTGTTTCCTACCAGGTCTTTCACAATTCACATTATCTTGCGGCCCACTTTGCAGCCTTGCATATCCCTTGGGCTCTGTGTGTGTGTGTGTGTGTCTTTTTTTAGGGCCCGGAAAGAAAGATCATTAATATGGTGCAGAGGTATGGTATACTTTTTCTTTGGCCAATAGAGGCATGGTATACTTGGATGGGTGAGTTTCAAAAGAACATCATTTTGAATTGTGCTTTGAAATGCTGTGCCCCACAGTATCTATTTGATAGTATTAGGGATTACAATTATTCTTATGATTAATTTATAGGAGTACTTCCTTTAAAAAAAATTAGCTTAATTATTTTTTGGAGAAATATGAAAGAAAATATGTGGTTGATGAAATGGATTATTAAGTGTAATTTTTAATTACTTCATTTCACCATATTTGTCTTATTTTGAAATGGTAAAGAAAAGGAGTTACTGCATCTTCAAAATGTAATGAGATTTTTAATTTAAAACAAAAATTTAGTTGATTGAAAAAATAAAAATTTAGCCAAAATAAAACAAATGAGTTTTATGTTTTTCAATCCAGCACTGAAATTATTGAATTATTATTAATAAATAAATATAAAAAAGAGTTTATTGAGAAATATTTTAATAATCTTAATATTCAAATTATACTTTTAAATAAACAATTTAACTTAAAAAATGTTTTTTTAAAAACACATATTATATGATGGAGAAAGTATCATTTTGAGGTTATAAGATTGTGAGTTTCAAAAATCTCAACTTGTATTTACAGGGCACCTACTTCCAAGCTTTTTAGTTGTCCCATTTTGAAGTTGCTTA